AGGTGATGCCATACGATCCAGTTGCTCAGGATGCTACAGGATTCCTGCTTTGGTACCCGTTACTTTGACGTGTTGGCTTTGATAACTTTCATCCGATTAAATTTAAGTGCCAGTAGTCTGGCTGCTGATGCAATATTTATGACAGATCCTGCACTGCAGAACAAAGTCTCCTTTTGAAGTCCAAAGCTGTTTTGTCTTTCTATTTTATGTCAGATTTCAAAAGTACCTTTGGGCATTCTCTCTTGGAGTACGCTGCTGTAAACAAACTAAACACTGTTTTAGTGAAGACAATGGACTGAATTTCTCTTTTACAGAGGCAACCGCATTCAATTCAGTGACATGGTGACTGATAGAAGAATCTGGCTCAATAAATAATATTTTGATAACAAAGCCCTTGAAATGTATATTGACGTGATGATGGACCTAAATCTTTGCAACCTTTTGAGCTCACTGCCAACTTTGCATGGGGCTAGAAAGTGGGCTTGTGAGGTGGTAGTTCAGGAGTGATTTTTCGCGGTGCTGTTCTGATTAAAAATAAGATGCAGCCAACCACTGCTGCTTTACAGCTGCTTACTGGTAAAACCTCCCTTCTCATCCCTCCTTCCCCAGTGAGAAATAAAGTAAGAAATGCAAAAACTCCCAATTTTGCTGTCCAATGCCTGCAACAGCACTGAGTAAGCTTCTTTTCAAAGCAGGCTGAGCTGACAGCTGAAGCCTGGGGTATCTCACTCAGTGAAGCAGGCTCTTGTGTTTCTTGGTGGAGTCACTGTCTGGAGTTAGGGTCTCCAAAGTGGTCTGTGAAGCTGTGAGCAAAGCCAGAGACAAACCAGCCGTATCAACAGCAGAACAAACTCCCAAACAAACTCTCCCAAGAAGCAGGCGTATTTTCAAATATGGGGAATGCCGACTGTATCCTGCTAGCTTCACAAGCTGACAAGGCATAAATATATGCTGATTCTCCACACTGTGTTGATCTCTCTTGAGTGTCTTCATTATTCATAGATTTTACTAACTTGTACCACAGTAAGACACTCTCAGCATCATAGAACTAACCCCTATTAGGCTTATTGTTTGAGCTGAGACAGTGAGGAACAAGATCAGATTTACTTCAAGGAGGGAAACTGAAGGTCTCCAGCAGCTGCGTTTCATCTCTCCATCTCAGCCCCACGCAGCGGGGCACGTGCTGCTGGCATAAGGGAGTGCTTGCCCAGCCCTCCCAGTTGCAAAGCAGCTGTGTCCAGCTCTAGGAACCCACCAAGAAGTGCAAACCTCATGCGAAACGATGAGGACCTTAGAGTCTGCAGGGACCAGCATGTGTACCTGATGTTCAATGCTCTGAGTCTTCCCATTGACTTCAGCAATGACTTCAAGTGCTCTGTTTGTCATAGCTGTTAACTCACAGTACTCTTGCAGTATGCAGCTATTAAAATATGCAAAAACCACTAAAATGAATATGGTGGTATGTTTGCTTTTATTTGTTAAACCACTTAAATATAGTGCATGAAATTCAGTGTTCTCTAACAGTTTCAGACACAATGGTGCGACTTTTTCCATTGCAATGAATTAATGTAAACGTTCAAGCAAGGCAGCAACTCAGATAAGCCTCAAATTAAAGTTTGAATTGGACACAACTGACATAATAAAGCATCTAAGAGCTTTGAGGAAATTGGTCCTGTCTCTCTGCAGGATGAGCAGATACATAATTGGGTTGTACCACTATGCTTTTGGTTAAGAAGAGGGTAATCTGGTGCATTGTTAAAGTCATCTAAAGTATTTACTAAATAATCCTGCTGTTCTGACGGCCACAGATCTTGTCCTGCTGGCTGTGGGTACCTGCAATCTCTGTGCCCTGCTGCCAGCCAGCTGCAGGGTGTTGGGGTGCCTGGTGCCCACTCAAGGGTCCACTTCTATGTAGGAGCAGTTCTCCAACTATGGCTCACTCTGGTGATTTTTGGTTTGGTTTTGTACGGCTTTTGATTCACATTTCTAAGGCTGGTTCTCGTGGAATCTTCTCATTAGATTGTATCAAGGATTAAAAACCTGTTGTCCTAGCTCCCAGTGTGACGCCAAAAAACCAGTACTTTCATACTGACACAGGTTGACAAAAGTGTGGTGCATATGGACTATTAGATCAGTTACCACTTACCGGCAAACCTGCTGAGAATAGACATATGGGTGAACAACTTTAATTAACCAGGTCTGATTGCACTCTATACTGAGGTTATGTTTAATTTTTTTTTCCTCTGATAGCTTTAAAATGCCCTCTAATATTCAGCTTTAGCTTTATTTTTTAACCTTGAATCCTTTTAAATGTATTTTCTTGTGTTTATTTTTAGCGCTCCTCTCACTCATTTATTATTCTAATTGTCTGTGTGTCTTTTCTCCTCAGCTTACAGCTTTCATCTGTCTGTTCCCTTGCCTGTGTTTTTAAAGTCTTACCTACTCCTAGCTAATGTTTAATATACTGAGAGCTTCCAAGTGGTCTTTCTCCTTGTTTTAGGACATCATACTAAGCATTGCAGTGTATGACAGAGAGCTCCATGTGTTTCTGTTGATTTTAAGGGGGGGTCTGTTTGTTTGATTTGGTTTTGGTTTTTTTGTTTTTATTTTTCCTCTTTCCCATACTGTTTTTTTGGCAGTTTCTCCTGTTAAATTCCCGACCCTGATATCTTTCTAGAGGCTAATTGCGCTATCTGTGAAAACTTCCACCTGCAAGCACATAAAGACATGAGAGTTGAAGAAATAAGCCCTTTTTTGGCAGTAGCGGGAAGCAGAAGTGGGTTCATCCAGATCCTTCTGACAGGGCACGTCTTCCTTGTCTCAAGCCATTTCTCAGTGGCAGTGGTTGCCCTACGAGGGAAGATCCTTTTGGAGGACACAGGGTTGTGGGTCTGCAGCACCATTGCAGTATGTGGAGTCGCCTATGGATGAAGAAAAGGATGCTGTGGATGCCAGCTGGGCTTATGGGGTCCACAGCCCAAAGCTGGTGCTCGCCCTTGGAGTGGGAGCAGAGCTGTAGAGTGGGCTCTTTGTAGTCTGGGTCTCGGTCAAAAGACACCCAAATGTAGTTAGATCTCTGCTGTGGTATTTGAAATTAGCTGTCACTTTTTGTTTGGCTGGTTTCCTCAAGTTAGCATGCTGGGTTATTGCCAGAGGAGGGAAGATAATCCCCTCCTCCTGTCTCTCAGGCTGGTGTTTCATTGACTGAGTTACGTTGCTTGGGTATTGCCTCTGAATATGTGAAATTTGCAAAATATTCTCCTTCAGTAGATTTATATAGTATTTACCCTATTTCTTTTCACATATGGAGCAAGGAAAATCTGTAAGAAATGTTCACTGGGGTGTAGAAATATCTGTTAGAAGAAGGTCCGTGTGATTGTCTTGATGAAGTTAGCGGCATCCTACCTGCAAGTACTTTTCTGCCTCGTGTTTATTTGAAACACGACATGGGCATAAAATGAAATTAAGAGGAACATTTTTAAAAGAGCTTGGAGTTGGTCACAGCTATTTTTCTTTCTTTCCCAGACCCTTTCTCGTGGAAGTACTTTGGTTGGTTTGGTTGGTTTACTTGTCTTATTTTATTAAGCCTTATATCTTCATCTGTAGTAGAGGCATCCTTCATTACTGCCTGTGCCTTACACAGGCAAAATACCGTGGATGTCACTGACTTCCCATAATTATAGCTGATGGCTTTATTATCCAGGTTTTTCCAAAGTGTGCTGGAAGAAACATCGCTGCTTGTCTGAGCTGTTGATACCCTGGCATGCTGGTTGATAGAAATATTTTATGTCGGAATGGGGGAAAAATTCTTGCGATAAAGACTCAACCAGCTGCTAGAAGTCATGGACAAATTGTGTAGTAACCTAAATGGGTTTTTTTTTCATGCTGTACTTAATGCTTAGTCTGTACAGTTTTGGGTTTTGGGGTGTTTTTGTGTGTGTGGGAGGTGGTATCTCAGATATTTTTCTTAGGCAAAACGTGGCTTAGGAAAGCACAACCACGTTCTTAAGTGATGAAAGAGCACATGTAAAGTGAGCAATGTGCTGATGTACATATCAGAAGAGGGGTCAGTCTTCTTGTAGGAGACCGCTTCGTTTTATCCCCTCTCTGCTGACACTGGTCCAGGCCCTGATGTGTGCAGTGGCTCTGTGGGGCTGGGCAGGGTTTCATGGTGAAGAAAGCACTGATGTGGCACTCAAAAAACCTGTGTGGCTTCTTCTCTCGACTTTGTTACTGTGCTTCTGGATGACATTGGGCAAGTCATTTCAATCCCTCAGCCTCAGTTTTCACCTCTAACATATGAGAGTCCCAGTGCTGACCTCCTCTACAAGGAGTTGGGATGCTTCATCCCTAGGGAAGGTTGATTCTGGTCTCCCTTGTAGGCAATAGCAGAGAATAAACACTTGACTCCTCAGATCTCTGCAGAAGAAGGTTTATTGTTCAGATGTGGCCAGTGAAGAGCCTTTGGTTGTGAAGAGTAATGAGAAAGTGACTCCAATTCCAAAAACATGTATTTGAGATGTTTCCAGCGTATAAGATTTCTGCAAACTTTTAAGTACGTGAGAAGTGTGAAGAACTTGATTAATTACAGGATGTACTGACAAATGTTTTTAAAGTCATTTTGTGCCTGAAGAATAAGTGTGAATCTGTGTGTGAAAGCACTGGTAATTTTGGAGGGGAGACAATATATGGAGCTTTCTGCTTTGAATGTGGAACTGCGTGCTCTGCTTTCATTATATGTGTCGTTATATCTGAATCTTGTAAATACACTGATGAGAGTGATGGGAAGCTGCTTCATTATTTTGGAGGCTCACTCAAAATATTTTATTTCTTTCAGAGACTTGAAGATAGAAAATCTGTTGCTAGATGAAGACAACAATATCAAGCTTATTGGTATGAAACCAGTTTGGCAATTCAAGTAATTAAAATTGGTAGTTTTATAACGAGAGTTTTTGAGACTTCATAATCCTTCATGTGACAACTGCAATGTTGCTGCAGAGAGGAGCTGAGAGAGTATAGATAGCAATCAAGCTGTTCCTGACAGCATCTTGTGAAAAAAAATGTTCCAAATAATTCAGCTTTAACTGGGTATGGGAATAATCCTTCATCTTTTAACCAACAGCTTTCATATTCAAATCGGGAACTTTGTAAAGAATTAAAGCATTGGCACCGCGGAAGTAATTTATTTTATTTTCTTGATAATTTCATACTTACTAAGGGTTGGATTCTGCCTCCATGTGCATAAGCTTCTGCAGAAATCAGTGGGAGTTGCACACATTTTTAGCAGCTGACAAAATTTTTTCCTAAATTTATATTCGTTATATTTGCTTCCAGCACCCAATATGAAATTGGTTTAGAAAGGGCTGTTAAAAAATAAAAAAGATCAACGTTGGAGTTTTGATTGTATTTGGGTATCAGTTGTACACAGCGCTCGATTCATTCAAGTTGTGCAGACATTTTAGATTAATCATCTATGGGTGGATATAGTGTCTCACTGCCTTTGTGTAACTCCCATTAATGTTAATGTGGGCACTGAAAAGAAAATATGCCCTTCATAAAAAAACTTTCAAACATCTGTTTTTGTTTATCTCAATGCCTATACTTTTGCCAACAGCAGTGTCTGTGGTTGCAGACTTAAAAACTCAACTGACTGACTTTCTTCAAAAGGTTTCATGATCTGAAAAGTGATGAAAAACACTTAACATTCAGGTCAAATGGACACTCACTGTAACATATAAAGCACATGTATCTCCAAACAAACAGGAGAAGGATGGTTAGTTAAATCTGAAATATTCAAAATTTTCTTAGGGAATTTGGAAATATTACCATGACTTTGAGTCATTACGCTGTAGCAAATCAACCAACTCTGGGAAAATAATAGCAAAAGAGAACTCTGCATTACCTCAGCTACGGGTCAAGAGGATACTGATATGTTACCATGAATCATTCATCAGTAATGATGGATACCACCCATTATCTTGATTTAGCAGATAAGTGAGACCAGATGGTTTGCAACAGTGCTATATGAACATCTGATAGATTTAAAGAATTTCTATAACTTTCCAGTTATTTGGTGTTTGATTACACAACAGTACGTGAACTTGACTTCCAAACCCAGGACTAATCGTATGATACGTGTGCAATTAAAACTCCCATGCCAAAAAAATGACTTCAGAACTGTTCCTGCAGTTTCATTTGCTTCGGTTGCATAGAAAGGTCTCCTTGCAGTGGGTGGTGTGGGAAGAATAGAGATAAGAGACAGTTTGGTCTTCTGTAGCCTCACTAGCATTGAAATAAATTGTCCTCAGGTCTGCAGCCTGATGTTTTAAGCAAAGCAGATTGTACACGGTATTTATTTTAAAACAAAGCAATTAAATCCCACTGTCCAACTGAGTATGTTATCAAAAAATAAAGGTTGCTTTATTAGTAATAATTTTGCTGCAAGAAAAAGCAGGTTTATTATCACAGTCAGCTCTTGCTATATCTCACTAGCAGTGCTGGTGATCTCTGGTTGTTCACCCTGAAGAAGCAGTCCCTCATGCTCTGTCTGCCGTGCGGGGAAAGCTGGAGCGGGGGCTGCCAAAACCAGCCTCAGGTCCATGGGCAGCCTCTCCTCACCAACACCTCTTTTCTAGGTGGTAACAGAAGTAGTGCTTGTGCTGCTGCACAGCTTTCCATTGCCACCAGGGTTTCCCAGGACAAGAAGAATTTTCCAACACGTGTTTGTGGCTCATGCAATAGACCAGTTCATTTATAGACCAGATAATTTACTCCTCTTCCTCCTCCCTGCCTGTTCTCAGCTCATCCAGCGCTTAGTATAATATTTTATGTAGTCTGTCTTTCTAGAAATGCAATGGATCAGTTGTGTCATCATGCAGTCCTGCCCAGGAAGGTTCTTCAGGAGTGAAGAACAAGTTTTGAGGAATTATGTGCTGCTGTTCATGCTTAGGAGAAGAGACTTTAAGCTACAAAACAGCAGCAAACACACTAGTACCTAATAAAAATGTTGCTCTTGTAATAACTGTGAAATGAAGAAATCCCACCATAAAGGAAAAAGAAAAGGCGAAATGAGGATTAAAAGCGTACCAGGAAGTAACATTGGAAGTCCCTGCTTGTTCATGCATTTCAATGAGAACTGAATCCCTTGAGTCCCTTTCTTCACCTAGCTGCTTAATGACACCTTGATTTTGTTACTCTTTTTAGCTACATGACAAGGGGTTTTATAATACGTTCTTAGACAGTATTATTATTAGAATTCCCTTTGCTGTGTTAAGTGGACTTAGCTACCTGTTAAGTCTCAAATCTAAGTACATCACGATTGGAAACACTGGAAATCACTTCTCTTCATCTACCAGCCCATGGTGGTAGGTGTCTAATAAAGATGCTTTGAAAAGCCTCTCACAGGCCATGCAAAGTCCTTGGCGTCCTATTCAAGGGCCTGTGGCACTGAAGGACCCTGCCAAGATGTATCTCCGCTGAGCTCTGTGGAGCTGTGCTGGTAAAACTTGGCCATAATTTGGTGCTAAGGCTTCTGTTATTTAGTAACTCTTTGCCTATTCCAGCTGTCACAGCTTCGGATAGCCATATATCCATAGCTTAATGCTGGTTTCCTGGAGGTGTTACAGAGGAGTAGTGTAATGCAATACTTCGATAGTACGAACAGTGAGGGTGGTGGAGTTTCCATGTCATAATATTTACTTTGGAAAACCAAGAGTGGCCTTTGATCTGAGTTCTGTAATTTGCTCAGCTTATTGAAAGGAAGCCCAAGACAGCGGCAGGAAAGGCAGTGAAATTATCAATGCTGGTGGTAATACTGTTCTTATCAAGATCAGCAGTGCATCCTTAATAAAAATCACACTGCGATCGCAAAGGGCTGCTGCAGTGTTAATAATGATATTCCCATTTCTTTTGCCGTAAAATCCCTGTCCCCAATATGCATGTGTTTCGACAGGAGCAAGAAAGAGTATAGAAGCCTAGATTCAATGAATGAGCTCAAAAAAGTGAATAAGATGTTTATAGTTTAAGCAAATAAGATTATTTAAACCTCCACTAGAGTATACCTCCATTGATAAAGATTAAAGGATGCTGATTTACACCATTGCAGAATATACTCCTTATATACTTTGACTATAAGACTTTATATTACAGTCAAGTAATTTTGAGGTGGCATGACACAGTAGGGTAAAGACCATGAATAATACTATGTGTATATATTATTTCTACAAGTTTTAAGTAGTGTTTTACAGTTGACATAACTCACTTCAGGCCATAGCTAATAAATACGTTAATTAAGTAAATGGATCCTTGGAAGTATCTGGATAAGCCCCAGGGATAATACATATCTAGCAGAGATGATTAAGCAGTGTCCAGAGACAATTGTTTTCCACCAGGGGCAAGGAAATTGCCTTGATCCTCCCTTCAGTCTTGACAATATTCTCCAGCAAAACCCCTTTGAGCCTCTTTAGGTGTTAAATGCGGTGATTCTTGCTTTTCTTGTGCTTGTCTCGCTCTCAGAGATGCAGCCAGTCAAGTGGAAAGCAGTGTGCAGTCACTTGGGCACTACAGCTCACACAGTCATCTTTATAATTGCATTTTTTTTTAAGCATTATGGTTTTGCCTGGTTTTGTAAGGGAACAAGGCTTATTTGACCGCCCTGTCAAGGTGAGGAACTCCTGTCTGATTTCAGCGAAAATTTAACATGGGGTAAAAGCTGAAGGCCATTACTTCAAATCTAATGCAAATAAGCAGGCAGTTAAGGGAGGGAGACCCAAATTAATGATTCTGTGGAGACAGAATATTGCGTGGGCTCACCAATTGCCCGCTATATTTGGCCTGCAAGATGTGATGCTTTTAGCCCATTTAGGCAGATGGGTAGCTCACCCAGAAAGCTGCTGTTTTATGAGACACATGGATGCAAGACACAGCTCTATAGGAAGATGATTCAGCGATCTGCTGCTCCTGACTGCCTCATTTATGTATAAGACAATTTTCATTTTAAATACACCTGTGTTCTGGGAATTTGTAAGAAGATTGGATCAAAAAAAAGAAAGGAACAAAACAGATGTCAGTATTTGTAATAGAAGAATTTTTGTTGTTGCAGCTGTCATCAATAACAAGTTATTAATAAATGCCAACATCTTCGATTGTGACCTCTCTGGATCCTTTGCTCCTTGATACATTGCCCTGCAGCAAAGGCTGTTCTCCCAGCCTGTCAGCTTTGCCCATGTCATTCTCTCCTTGCAACTTGTCTTGCTTCTTCCCCTTATCACTTCAAGTTGTTTGATTTGAGTTTAAAGACCCTCTGCAACCTTTCTTTACCTTCCCATGCTGTGTCTCAGGCTGTGGTTTCGTAATTGCTTTTTCCTAAGCCAAGCACAAGCTGGGCTTGCACATTGCCCTCAGCTGCTTCTGCTGCTGGTGCGACTCTGTCTGCCTTTCTTTCCTTGCTTAGTGGTTTAATATTTAAAAGCCTTTCTTAAACCCAGCTCAGCCTGCAGCCATACCACAGCTGGAGCAGATGAGGGAGATTGTGGGAACACCTTCTTCAGTGCCAGCCTGGGCTTGGGTTGGCTGAGAGCACTTGGGAAACTGCAGCCTCCTTTGATGCAGAGAGGCTGTGTCATGCCTGTGATCAGCCCATGGTGCCAGTCCCTTGTTGTTGTTGCCAGCAGAAGAGCATCAGATACACCCAGGGCCCAGAAATACAATAATTCAAGGCAAAAGTAGAGAAGGGGAGAACAAAACCAACACATTCTCCTTCTTGCTGCCTGTGTTATTTCAGAGCTGAAATGCTGACTCTGCAACCCTGTGCATTTTTGCATTGCCACAGCAGTCCCAGAAAGCAGCTCCCCCCCGCCTCATATCTGATGGCTCATTTACAAGATTTAGAGGAAAATGTTGAAGAAGTCCCACTTAAACTTGGCCTCTACATAACATAGTGCAGCAGTATGGAATACATGATAGCCTGAGGTGGCTCTCTGTCCCATGCATGTCACATAGTGTCTGGTACAAGCTGAGCTCTGGCTGTTGCCATCAGATTCCCAGTGAAATGTGATTACTTTGTGTATGAAATTGATAGTTGTGCACATTCTAAGACTTTTTTATTGCTAGTGGAAATCTCCTGTAATTTAGCACCTCAGAGAAATAAATTGTATAAAATTTTTGCATGTGGATTTTTCTTTTCATGGGCAGTTCATTACTTAGGTTTTGGGGAAAATGTGTGCTTTTTTTTCTTGTGTTCTAGTACAGTTTTACTGTATCTGTCTCTTTCATAACTCTCTGTGCCTTTCACAGACTTTGGATTGAGCAACTGTGCAGGCATCTTGGGTTATTCTGATCCATTCAGCACCCAGTGTGGGAGCCCAGCATATGCAGCCCCTGAACTTCTGGCAAGGAAAAAATACGGGCCCAAAATAGACGTTTGGTCCATGTGAGTTACTTCTATAGTTTATAATTGTTATTACTGTCATCGTTACCCATTGCTCGAGTGAGAAATGTTATTCATGTATTTAGCTACTGTGAGGAAGAAAATCTGTTTAATTAGTATGACTCTGTGAACTAAATTGCGGAGATATCTTGTTTTGAAATAGATCTTTACGTACCTGTATATAGATTGCTAGACCATATAGCACGGAGAAGTTGCAGAAAAGCACAATTGATCAGTGGTGTTCAGACATAGTAGAAGATGTGACTCTGGCACAAGAGGACCAACAGCTGTTTTAGTTTTCCCCAAAGGCTCCTCGAGCATTCACGTGGGCTCCGTACACTATCCACAGTCAAGTCTGACAAGAAATGTGATACCGAGTCAGGTCATCACTTTGAAAGCACGGCTGTTAAAGGGAAAATAAAACCGGCCAGAAAACTTGGAAGCCTTTATGAGCTTGCTAGTGTCCAGGCAAAAGAGCAAACAGACATCCCTGGTGTCAGAGATTGAGGAAAATACAAAGATGATTTGGAGTCAGTGGATTTGTCCGCAGAATTGTTTTAGACTGTGCGACTCTACTACTCTCCTGTTAGCCATGGACATGGTGTTGGTTATCCTTGTTAATCCTAGAGGAGAGTTAGCTGAAATCACTCAAGTCTTAGGGCTTTCCTTAGTGTTGATAGCTTTTTCCTCACCAAGTGGGGATAATAACATTTGTGTAAATTCCAATAAAATAACAGAATTATGGTAATTCTCAAGTTGAAGTATTTGCAATACTTGGAAAATTTAATATACTGATTAAGTACCACTACTGTTAAGAAAGATTGGCCATAGTTTCTATATAAGACTAGGATCAAATTAATCTCTCAGTTTGACCTGGTGGGTCCCCTGTTGCATCTCAAGGCTCTTTAGAATTTCCCCTGCTGAAGCCTCACTTGAAGTCTGCCCTCTGAGGAGACCCACAGCTTAATCATTGCATGACTACTGAATTTCTCACTCCAGCAGTGGGCCATCCATCCGCATTAAGGGTGAAAGTACCAGCCCTGAAGAACACAGGCGAACAGAGCACAATCGTTCCTGTAAACCATTGAAACTTCTCCAGTAATAATGTCCCAGTCTTTTTTTAATTCAAAAGAAAACATTGCTAACTCCTGCTTTTCCTCATAGCTGCACAAATGGTGTCTGTGATCACAGTTTGTGATATCACACTGGTTTAGTTTCTCTCTGTTCACATACATTCAGCAGGCTGGGGAAACAAATTCCCAAAAGGGAGGAATTTCATTCAAATTGAATTTAAAGCCCTTTAAAGAGGACAAAGAACAAGAGTGTCCAGCCCACTTTTCATTGCTGGGCATAAACAAGCAGTAAGTTTTCTGCTGTGAAAAATGTAATTGTTCACACCTGGTCTTTGGGCTGTAGGAGAGTGCATAGGTCACCTTTGGGTGCAGAACGAAGACCTGAGGTGTCCCCCTTGGTGTAGGCAGTCTTTCCACACCCAGGGCAGCACCAGGGCAAGGCTTCCAAAAGCAGCATGTTTATGCAGCCTGAGGAGAGACTTAATTGTGGCGTGGCATTTAGCCGAGGAGTTGCCTGAGAGCCGGGCTCAGTTCTTTGGCTCTCAGTTCTTTGGCTCCCAGTTTATGTCCTACACATTGTGGGACCCTCCATGAGCAAACCTCTGAGAATTTTTGCCCAAATCTTTGTGTGCGACAACAGAGCTTTTTTTTGGTCTTTTTTTAATAGCTGTCAGACATTAAAGACGAAGTACAGTCACTAAAACCTAAGCTTAATTTTCTCCTTGTTCCTGATCATTTTAGTTTCTTTTTTCTCTGTTTTCTTTTAGCGGGGTGAACATGTATGCAATGTTGACTGGAACATTACCTTTTACCGTGGAGCCATTCAGCTTGAGAGCCTTATACCAGAAAATGGTGGACAAAGAAATGAACCCTTTTCCCACCCAGCTCTCTACAGGTAATCAAGGGGGTGTTCTGGGTCCTGTTCACATCCAGTTGGTGAGAACCATTACATTGAATTCTGGATTGTGAGTCATGCTGCTGACATGGTGTACTAATTGGGAAAAATACCCTTTTTTCATTTTGATCTCCAAAAGATCTGCGGGAGTTGCTGTAGTATAACTCCTTTTTCTTTGACTTTAAGTAAGCTGGAGAAGCGCCAAGTTGTGCTGAATATGAGAGAGGAACAAATCTGTGGAAATCTGTGAAATTGCTCTTGTAGAGTAGTTGATCACTTTTGCACATTCAGAAGACTTTAGCATAGGGCAGGGATGCACAAACACATTCTTTTGGAATAACAAATTCCTGGGCATTATCATGACTAAGACTGAGTGATAAACTAGCTTGAATGACCTCATTTTTACTGTGGAATAATGACATGCACACAGAAAGTTATTTTGGGACAGTGGCCTGTGATAACCTTTGTGTGTTCACAAAATGCAAAATTGTTGATGTATTGGTATTAGAAATATTAATTCCTGTTTCAAAGCCATGTCACTAGGCAACAGATTCATTTTTCAGCTTATAGCAAGACCGTTGTCAGCATTTGGAACAAACTCTGTTTTGTAGTTAGGTTTTATTTTTGTATGCTAAATTTGTCGTTCATGGATAGCTTCTGTTCTCCTTATCTGGCAGCCTGTTTACAAGGGACCTTCAATACAATTAAAAGATTGCGAAGAGAAAAATGGTAACAGAGCATACATTTTCACCCAGTGCACAAAGGATTGTCAACCACTGTCATAGGGGATAAGAGAAAAACCCTTGGAAGTTGTGTCACAAGGTGAACTCTCCAAGTACAGATTTATCTGCATACAGAAGAAGAAGGTAGTTAAGAGTTTCTCATACAAGTTATCCATGGATCAAGTGGAGTATTTTGTTCCTGATTCACTCAGCACCTATATGAAGTACACTTTTCCTGCCAGCAGTTCATATTGCTGTTATGTTGTAAAGTGGTAGGTTTACAAGTGAGCTGGGATGCTGCAAGTCTTGCCATCTACTTGATGCAATTAGAGTGTTTGGTATTTCCATTCTAGAGACTTCCCATTAGGATTCAGTTGCACAAAGTGGCTATTTAAATGTTCTAGCACACGCTCTAAAGGCCCACTGAGTAAATTAAAAGGAAGATTATATCAACTGCTTCATGCTGTACTGATCTAGATCCCAAATCCTGCATCAATTGCAAAGCTACTCTTGAATTCAGGGACTTGCATGTCATAGTAAACAAATTTTGGCAAAAAATTTACCAAACTTACCTCCCAGCATGAGGCTTTTACCAATAAAGAGCAGTTAGATGATGGCTGTGTAGTGTCTTTGAGCCAATGGACTGTTTTCCCAATCACTGTTTTCTTTCAGTTGTCTGTAAGTGGGAGATTTCACTTACTTCACTGGGACAACTCATGTGTTAATGGCTGGATCAGCCACAAAAGGGCTGTGGAAAACCAGACCTTGGGAAGCAAAAAAATAACATTACTTTTGACAGGTTTCATCTTACTGTACATTCATCCTACCATTTTATAAAGGAGATCAAATTTTCTCACAAATGCATCTCTGTAGCATTTGTAGCTCACTGACACTATGGTCTCCAGTGAAAACCATGTTTTGTTTATCCTGTGAGAGCTATAGCAGCCTGAACTTTCAGAGATGACGGCAAATTAATGGAATAGATTTAAACGTGTTAACCTTTAGTCACTGTGAACAAAGGTATGCATTGGTTCTTGATCCAAGTCAGCGGGCAGGCACATTCACTGACATGGTGGACTGCGATTTAAGATGACATTTGTTCTTGCCACGGTTAGGCTTTGGGTCAGTAGGTAGAAACTGCTCTTCTGCTCTGCGAATTGTTGTGTTCATTAACTTCTTAGGTTTATTGATCTTTTCCTTTAATCAGGTTTACTGTACATTCACATGGAGATTAGAGATTTTTTTTTTGCAGAAGACTGTTTTGCTTGCTCACTGTGTTGTCTTTCAATGTTTAATGTCATAGTTGCTGAATGCACCGTCCCACGGTAAAAATAGCCAGTCTTATCACTAAGTGAGAGTGTATTTTATTTGTATTAGTTAAAATGTTGGGTGACTGTGAGTGCCCAAGCAACTGTGTAGCAACAGGGAAAATTTGGAGGTAATGCTTGATTTTCCAATTTAGGAAACTGTTATTTCATTAAGTTTCTTTAACAACACAGCTGTCTGATTATTGATTTTTGGCGAGCAGAGTTCAGTTGCTCAGGAAGTTGATATTCACCTTGCACACGTTCCTTTTTTTCCTCAGTTTACTACTTCTGTGTGTTCATGGTCATCCTTCTGGGCAGAGAAGTGGAGATGAGAAGAAAAGCCATGCTTGTAGTTTGTAGGAAGCATTTTATTAAGTGGGGCTTGCTCATGTCTTGTGAAATGAGCTCATTGCATTTTCTCTGACTGGTTTTGTACCAACACCTGTGCACCTCATTTTAACCCTCACAGTGTGAGCAGGACACTTAAGTTGTTTTCATTCAGATAAGGAACATGAAGACAGCAGAGGTCTTGTAATCCTCACCTGAAGCGAGCTCTGTTTCTGGTCATCACTGAGCTCAGTATGTTCAAGGAAGTTAAGAGAGAAATGTAGTTTCTCATGACGATGGTCTTTTTATTTGTCAAAAGAGCAAACTTTGCCCCAAAATTACACCATGGGAACAAAATTCCACTGAGTGTGGGTCACTGGCTAATCAAATTAGCGCTGTCCTTGAGCTCATCGTAAACGAGGCCTCACATAATGAGGTCCTGGCTGGTGGTTCATGGCGCCCTTTGTTCACCAGCCTTACTTGAGGCAGCAGGAAGAATGGCTTAAGGTGCAGTGGGTCCAAAAATAGATTGGACAGCTTCATGTTTGCTTCCTGGGGGATTAATTTTGCTGTCCCACAGCCTGGAAAAGGCTTCTCTCCTCCTCGTACCATCTGACAGCTTAACTTGGCAAAGATGCCATTACTCATCTCCTCTGCATCACCAGGGTCTGGCCAGCCAGGGACCCTCCTGGTGGGGAACTTCTCTCCAGAATTAGTTTCTCCCAGTCTGGATCTGTTGATCTCTGTGCTGCTTCACAAGCCTCATTTAATTAGGCTGCCTTTGGCTAAGGCAGGGAGGAAATTAAGATTTTTTAAGGAGATGTTAGCTGATTTGGGGACTAAGGATGGTGGTGATGGAGTGGGGGTGGTGATGGTTTGGGGAGGGGTTATTTATTTTGCTCTGAATTTGGATGCATGTGGTTTCTAACACAGAGATAGGGGAAGTGCTGGAGAGAGAGAGAAGATAAAATGGAAGAACAAGGGGTTTGTTGTTTGCCATATGGGGGGCTCTGTGCCTGAGAGGCATGACGGGGTGCAACTGAGAGACGCAGAGAGGAGTTGTAGCAGCAGCTTCCAGGAGGTTTATGAACTTGTATGTAGGCTTTTCCTGCTGCTTCCACAATATTGCTGTTGTAG